TCTACACGGAACTAACAATCCTACACTTCTGACTTTTTTTGTTTTTTTGTTCTCAAATTTCTTTCGAAATGCCAAAAAACTTTTTAAACTCCTTAAGCGCCTAAAAACTGTAAAAGACACACTATGTATGCAAGATGCTAACCGGTTCGTTATGACCATGTCCGTCTGACTGTCCGTCCGTATAAACGTCGAGATTTTAGAAACTATATAAAGCTAAAAATATATATAGCTAAAATGCTAAATGACACACAAAAGTCGCACAAAAGTTTTATCCACACATTTAAAAAATATTTGTATTTGATTTTATTTTACATTTTGTCTGACCAATTTCTATAGGTATACCGAAAACATTTTGGCCACGCCTACTCTAATAGCACAGAACTGTGTGGGCGTTTTTTGGTCAGTTTATAGGCGTTATGTCTCTGTAATTTGCATGCCTAGTCACAACTTTCTAAATTTTATAGTTCCTGGGATCTTGACGTTCATACGGACTGACAGACGGACATGGCCAGTTCGACTCGACTATTGATCCTGGTCAAGAATATATATACCTTATATATATCTACCTTATATATATACCTTATATACCTTATATATATACCTTATATATATACGTTATATATACCTTATATATATACCTTCCTTCTTATAACGGGTATAATAACTCACAGAGAAAGTAAGCCCATAAAATATTATTAAAAACATGTTCAAAGTGAAAATAAGAAGGGGAATAATAAAGTAAATAAATAAAAAAGGCAAGTTTTGATATGTGCAAAAACTTCGACAATAAATATCATCGATGGCTTTATGACCTGTAAACCGTATACAGCCGTAGTTCTGTAGGACAAACTTTTATTTGGGTCCTTTGCATGTCAAAAAGTTATGTACTAGGAAACAGTATTGAAATGCGATTCAAATAAATGCACGACATAGCGACTCTTCAACTATTAAAGATGGTTGTATGTATAATTTAAAAACGTCAAAGCAGAGAATGGCAAGGTCATCCTTTTTATTATACCCCCATTCTTCATCTAGTCAAATATTTTTGTAAGTCACGAAAAAACTTAAATTTTTTTAATGGTAGCCCAACCAAACTAACTAATAACTAAATATATCTTTATGCTATTTACAACTGCTCACTATCATTAAGATAATATTAAATGTATCTTTACGCTATTTACAACTCGTCACTATCATTAAGATAGTGTATATATCAATTTTTTAGCCTAACCTAAAAGCCCTTACCACGCGACCACTCGCCAATGCCATTAATCATCTGTGCAAATGGTACAGCTCAGGCTTCAACTCTCCAACTTCTTCAAGTACTCTTACCACAAAAACTTGTCAGCTACGCCTAGGCCATTAACACTACTGGACACAAAGACACAAACACGCAAACAACTGGCAAACAAATGTCTCCCGGGACAGACATTCAGACAAATAGTGGAAAACCAGTACGGAGTAACCGCACACGCAAAGGCTAAAGACCTGGAAGCGAAGTCAAATTTTAATCATAGAATCCACAAGAAAAACGTTTATGTATATAAATATATATACCATTTCGAAAAGCAAAAATAAACAAGATAGAATGCGAATCGAGTTCCCCGACTATCAGATACTCGTTACTCAGCTAGTGGAAGGGCAAACGAGAAATATGTGGACGTCCCAACATTTGAAAACAAACTTGGGCTGCGTCTAGTCCTGGAAACTGCACGCTTAATCTCAACATTATATCTTTTGTAGTTCCTGAGATCAAGGCGTTCATACGGACAGACGGACGGACGGACGGACAGACGTTCATGGCTAGTTTGACTCGGTTATTGATCCTAATACGGATCAACAACTGAAACGGGATAACAACTGAAAAAGCCTGCACAAAGACCACAAAAGAATAGGCGACTGAAGTGGGAGTGAGACTTGCATCCTTTCCCCATTACAACAATAAGGCTTTTTACGTCACATCCCACGAAGAACGTTATTCGCATGTTTCCTGCCATCTTCGACAGACTGATTCATAGATTTGGTTTTGACGGAATAAATCAGCACAATAACATCTGATTTGAAAAGGCGAAACCAATCACACGTTCACTTGTTTTTTTTTTATTAAACTTGGTTTTAATTATTGCTTTGCTTTAACCAAAAAGGAGCAGAAAGCAGGAGCTGCTGAAGGGTGTTTTGAGATGCAGGTATGAACTAATTACCCAACACATTGGTCGAATAATTGATCCCGATCCTAGTAAAAAAAAGTGTTTTCCGCTTGCTATTTACATTTTCGGCTTCGATTTCTAAAATTTCCTTACTTATTTCGTTTTACTTATCGACACTGAAAAATACACAAGTACGCATGATCAATTGGTAATTACCAAACCAGAAGCTCTGCAATAGAGTGTTCCCACAACCTGGTTTTATATAGCTTTACAACACAAAATAAACTGGTAAATTTTAAGCCATTGAATGAGGATTTTGTACTTTTTAAGTACAGTTTACTTTACATATATAATATATAAATGTATACATAGCCAAAGGTGCATGGGTGCACGGGGTATTTTTAAGTCAACCAAATTTTCCAATTAGGTATTGGACAATATGACTTTTTTTTTTTTAATTAGAAAATAGTTTTTAATTTTGTGTACTTAACTTTCAATTTTAACTGCACTTTTACTCAAATTTTTTAGAAACGGATTAAGTCCGGTACAACTTAACGCGTTCGTAACCATAGTGTGCATTATGTAAGTTGAAAAATGTGTTAGTCGGAAATTTGCACAAAATGAATAAAGAAATAAAGGACTTAATAAAAAAGGGAAACTAAAAGGGTGTTGAAAGAAAGACTATCTAAAGGTCATGAATTATTTCCTACATTAATAATTGTTAGACGATGTGGACTTATAGATGGCAACGAAGTCAAACGCAACTTTCATTTGCACGCTGCTGGAAATAAGCGGATATTTCTTTCTAGCAGAGTGCAAATAAAAGTTGCTTCTGACTTCGTTGCCATCTATAAGTCCGAAAGTTTGGGAAATGGAAAGTGGAAATGAATTTCAGAAGTCAGCGTAATCCATTATGAGTCTCTACAACGTTCTTCGCATTGTACTATTTTCAACCGTTACTCGTAGAGCAACAGGGAATACTAAATAAGTTGAGGAGAACAATACTCGTATGTCAGAGGTTATTGACCCTATAAAGTATATATGTTCTTAATCAGGTTCCCTGTCTTTATCTTCCCAATTCGATATCACAACAAAAATTTGTCCACGCCAACCAAACGAACAAATGTTTTGATATATTATAAATTTTATTGTCTGTCTTGTCGATTGCTACCCCTATGCCAACAGAATGTGGAAATTTCTTCCTAGCACTCCCTCTAGCTGACTAGCGGGTATCTGATAGTCAGAGAAACCGAATATAGAGTTCTCTCTTATTAGATTAGATAGATGAAAAGTATGTAACATGCAGAAGGAAACGTTTCCGACCATGTAAAGTATATATATTCTTGACCAGGATCAATACCCGTTTCGATCTGGTAATGTCTGTATGAAGGCCTCGATCTTAGATAGTTCCATAGCTAGAATATTATGATTAGGCATAAATACATAGACGCAGCGATGTTGTCCAGATGTTGTCACGCCCACTCTAACGCCCACAAACCGCGCAAAACTGTCACGCCCACACTTTTAAAAATCATTACGTTTTCTTTATCATTTTATTATTTTTCCCCCAATTTGTAATATCCCCCAATATTCCAGAAAATGTTGAAATTTCTTCCACTAGCTGAGTAACGTGTATCCGAGGAACTCGACTATAGCATTCTCGCTTGTTATTATATGTAATTATTATATTTTGCGCATAAGAAAAGGGCCTCAAATTCAAAAAAACAAGACTTAAAAGTCCAACTTTATTAAGCAAGCAAAACTGCTTCTAACTTTATTTTGCAAAGTAAAAATGTAACAATTTTACTTATATCTCAATTCAATTGAGTTCAATTGCCATTCCCTTACCAAGACTTGACCCATATTGATTATTACAGAGGAACGTTTGGTGAAAGCTTACTAAGTAATTATTACATACACAACTCACAACTCTACTCAAACTGTCAGATATAGCCCGTATAGCAACAAATTCAAATATTCGGAATTCCTAAGAAAGTAGACTGATAAATGTAAAACTTTCTTTTACATAAGAAATATTTCTTAACATGAAATATTTATAAAAGAAACATATACGACGCCGAATTGGTTGACACTTCGATTTACGGACAACCGTAACAAAGTGTGTTAAAACCAGCAGAAATCGAAGAAAGAACGAAGACGAAATCTATAGGAATTGGCAAGACAAATGATAAAATAAAAAAGATAGAATGCTATAGTTGAGTTCCCCGACCCGTTACTCAGCTAGTAGAGATGCGAACGAGGAAGTACGGACGGACAGACGGACATGGCCAGTTCGGCTCGTCTATTGATACTGATCAAGAATTTATACACTTTATATGGTCGGAAATGCTTTCTTCTGCCTGTTGCATACTTTTCAACGAATCCAGTATATCCTTCTACTCTACGTTTATGAGCATATATATTATATATGTTACGGATATGGTATGGACAGGCCTGCATTAACATTAAGAAAACCCTGGCCAGTGGCACATCACTCTGAAGTGGCAATGTAATGTAATCTTTCCAGCAATGTAATCCTTCAACGCAGATAGCCAAAGACTTTGCACATGACCATTGCAATGCATCGACTTGATTTGTAAGCTCCGTCTCGTCTTGCTCTTAAGAACCCACACAGTATAATGGATATTTTTGGGTGCATATCAACTGTTTGTGGCATATACTTTTTGAATGGCAAATATTAATTTCTGATATATTTAAGAACCTAATACATTAATAATAGGACCTCAAAGGAACCAATATTGCACTAATATATATTTGTAATTTAGCAGAATATTTAATTAGTATGACACCATTAAAGCTTTTGGCTTCATTTAATCAACAAATGGTTCTTACCACAAACAAAGCTGCCAAAGCTATTTTTGGAGACGTCCAGTTAATGTTCACCGACATTTTTGCCTGCATTTTCTCGTAATCATGTTTTCTTCTGCAAAATAATAAATAAGTACAGTGATTTCAATATATGTATGTATGTATGTACATCATGTACATCATTAGATGTATTCAGATTCTTTGGTGTTATACAGTTTCCTTGGTATGGTATTTAAGTATGTTATGGGGATGGGATGTTGGAAAACTTAAACATAAAGCCTTATCCTAAATTCAGCTTTAAATAATTATCAAGCCATATGACAGCTGATGGCATAGCGATAGATAACTCAGCGACTGCCTTGGCAAGAAATGAAGCATAATTATTGTGGGTGAGCTTCGAATGCCACGAGAATCACAATTTCCGCATAAAAAACAAGAGAGAACACTATATTCGAGTTTTGCGAGATCATATACCCGGTACTTCGCAGCGCAGGCTGGTCTTCATACCTTGAGATTAGGTTACTAGTGTTTTTAGTTTCCGAGATCACGGCAGACAGACGGACATAGCCAGATCCACTCGGCTTGAGATCCTTGTACCTGTTACATACTTCGAATTTAGTGTACACTTTTGCTCTACGAGTAACGGAAGCCTCAACAGAAAACGATGTTTAAGGGTATTTAACTGTAATTGCTTTTGTCATATGCTTCCATTGTTGATTCCAATTAATTGCCAACCGTGAAAATCTCTGATCGCCGCAATAATTGCAATGTTTGCAGTCCCTCTGAAGGGTAAGTTATGTGAACCATCGGGGGAGGCAGTAACTATAAATTCAATAAGCGAGCTTCAACGGGTGCACATGAAAGTCCATATTAGGTTAGAAAACATAAAATTGATAAGTTTATTTTTGGACTTAAAACACATACATATGTCATTCAATATAAATAGCCTGTTCTGTAAGGAAGGAGACGTGCGAAGTCGCCTCCTTGCACATTTACTGAGGAAAAAGCTACCAGTAACTATGCACTAACAGGCAGAGTTCCACAAAAGTGTGAAAGTATATTTTGGGTATGGCAAAAACATTTTTTTCAAATCGATAGAAATTTACAAGGCTACAAAAAAATTAAAAATATCAAAACATTTTCCAAAAGTGTAGGCGTGATTGTTTTGTTCGGCTTGTGGGCGTTAGAATGGGCGTGGCTACATCATTTAACAAGCTTGCGCTGCGTCTATGTATCTAGAATCTACACACCTAATCTCAACTATCTAGCTTTTATAGATCCTAAGAGCTCGACGTTTATACGGACGGACAGACAGACGGATATGCCCTCCGACTCGGCTTTTTATCCTGATCAAGAATATATGTACAGTGGTGGACACTAATTTAACACACTATGCATGGTCGATTTTCTTTTCTTATTTTCTCAGTTGTTAAATGATTAGATTAGTAATATTTTATTGTGCGGGTAGGTTACTAAGTAGAGAATAATTACCGTTATTTTCACCTCTCTTTTGTATTCTTTCTTTGCCATTCGATTTTATCCAGAAACCCCCAAAATTGGCTGGACACGAATTTAGCACACTTGAGCACTTTGATCGTTATACTTACAGTTGTTGGAAGCAAGCGAATTTTTTCGATCTTAAATTAATTAATTGAGCTTTATTACTTCGGTAAATACAAAAAACTTCGGTTTAAAATGGGTAAAAGTCGCTGGTGTACTGAAGCACAGCGAGATGTCATCCAAATCATGAAATCGGCGGGAAAATCGATTTCATATGTTTCAAAGGATCTTGGCTGCTCTCGAAAAATGGTTTATAACGTTTTGAAAAATATTGAAAACAATGGTAATGCAAAAAGGCAAAAACAAATACGCCAACCCCGTAAAACCACAGCCTGGCAGGACAGCCTCATTCAAAAAGCGTCCAGAGCTGATACCTTCATAAGTTCAAGGGCGATTAGAAATGAAATTTCATTAACCCAAGGAGTAAATGTGTCTTCCAGGACGATAAGGAGACGTCTTAATGAAAAAAAACTACGTGGATGTATAGCACAACAAAAATATATACAGCACAAAAAAAAATATAAAGGCAAGAATTAAATTCGCCAAGGAGCATATGATCAAGCCTCTGATTTTTTGAACAAATGTGCTTTGGAGCGATGAATCCAAGTTTTGTCAATTTGGATCAGACGGAAAAAAGTATGTTTGGCGTCCTCCGAACATGCAACACTATCCACGATACACCATAAAAGACGGTCAAGCATGGTGGAGGAAATGTAATGTTGTGGGCAGCATTTTCTTGGCATGGTGTGGGTGAAATACGGGTGATGGATCAGCGGATGGATCAACAAGTCTATACAAAAATAATCCCTGATGTTATGATCCTCTATGCGGATGATAATTTACCGTTACAGTGGCGTTTTATTCACGATAACGATCCTAAGCATACTTCACGACTAGTGAAGAGTTGCCTTCAGGACAGCATTATTGACGTTATGAAGGGGCCAGCTCAGTCCCCCGATCTCAATCCTATTCAGAATTTATGGGTGGATGTGGAGATGCAGATTGGAATTGTAAAACCCAGAAATTTAAATGAACTATGGAGCACAATTAACAATGCTTGGTCTGCCATACCGCAGATGGGATGCGCAGCTTTGGTGGAGAGTTTGCCACATAGACTTCTTTAAGTATATTCTTGAGGCAGGACCAGCGCACCTAAAAATCACTAACTTCATATATTTCTACCACGTCGAGGCTGAATACTCTAACGACAAATTTTCTAGTATAATGTAGTTTATGAAATTAATTAGGGATTAATATGTACATTCATCTTTTACTATTTCTATGCTGTATTCGAATAATTATCATGTTAGGGCAATGCAAAATTTGATTTTTTTTACATGGCGGGAATCGATCAAAAATAATATATAATAGATTGAAACATAAACTTCTGAGGTGAGGGGCATATTATGTCAAATTTACAATACATGAAGACAACGTTTTTTGAATGGCTTCTTGTTGTTTATGTCGTTTTATACATGTTAACAAATATAAAGAATAAAATTTTGTAAAATAAGATAAGAGCATAAACTGTCATACCTACAATATCTACATTCATATATGTATATGTATATGTACATACATTTATGTAGAGTTACTGTAAGCGACAGACCCTTTCAGTTATTTCATCATCCTTTTTGTCACCTAATTATTCTAGTGTCTTTGGTCTATGGCATCTGCGAGTGTCTCAGTCAGCGACCTCTCTCATTGCTCGTGAGCATACCTATACGTTCTCTTACTTGTCAAAGATCTGAACATACATACATATGTACATACATATATCGGCCACAAACGGGCCCTTAAACTTTGGGTCCAGCTTTTCACTCTCTAGCATTAGATTACGTTACATTCAATCGTACAGTTTTAGCTTTGTTTTCATCAAACCTTTGTTTATCAAATTCAGCATATCTTTTTATGTTTTGCAAGGCCGTATCCCTAACGCATTGTATATACATTTTTTTCTTCTTCTATTGAACTTGCTTTAAAGCTTCCTGCCATGATCTCTTACTCGTCTCTACAACCGTTCATAGTTTTCAAAGTGCTCAACTGCGGCCTTGATAAGCTATCAAGGGATTCGGTACACCAAAAATGCAGGTAGCAAATTTTAAGCTGTTAAAGTCAAGGCTCAATGTGTGCTGCAAATGAACATACTTAGTGAAAGCGTCTATTTGAACTATCACATATTCTACATATTCGTTCTTTCCACTAAATTTGCCGCTGATATCTATATGCACTGTATGCCATGGTATGAATACTTTCGGTATGGAAAGCAATTCCATTTGGACTTTGCCTGACATTGACTTAGACAATTTACATGTCCGCACATATTTTAAAACCAATACTGCGTGTATACCTTATCAAAGGTCTTCTACCAGCACAAGTGCCTGATAAGCCCATGGACATGGTTTATTATGGACCACCTGAATGCTCGCGGTATGGCAGGCACCTATTTCGGCCATTTCTCTGTATATTCGTTGCAGCATGCCCGATTTTAGTTCAAATGTTTTTCAAATGTTTTTCATGCTGCAATTCATTACTTTGCAGTTTAATCACTAGTTAAGAAATCCCAGCATCTCTATGCTGCTCAGAAAGCAACCAGTTATCCGTTATTTCTGCCAATTCTACACATACTTCAGTTACCTTAGCGACTTTAGAGAATTAAGCAACTAGTAGTAGGTTTCTCAAGAGAAAATTATACATGCGCATACTCTGTCATTTTCTATACTCAATCTCAAACTCCTATGACTGTAAATATGCCCACCAACGATGAACTCTTGACGTGTTTAGTGTCTTGATTCTGCACCTGTAGTGCTCTTGCTAAATTACTCCATGACTCTCGGTTTGCAATCCATCTTGTGCATCAATATGGCACCATAGCCATCTGCACTAGCATCAGTGTGTAATTCTACCGGGTTCTGCGGGTCACAGATGATTAACACGGAATCATGTCTATCGGGCAATTCAAATTGACTATTTATACCCATTACTCGTATAGTAAAAGGGTATACTATATTCGTTGAAAAGTATGTAACAGACAGAAGGAAACGTTTCCGACCATATATGTATATTCTTGATCAGGATCAATAGCCGTGTCAAACGCAGTCCGTCCGTATGAACGCCCCGATCTCAGGAACTACGAAAGTTAGAATGTTGAGATTAGGCACGCAGCTTCCAGAGACTTAGACGCAGCGCAAGTTGCCACGCCCAAAACTCTCACGCCCACACTTTAAAAAATGTGATATTTTTTAACACTATTTTATCTTGTTAATTTCTATATATTTGCCAAAATACTTTTTGCAACGCCCACTCTAACGCCCACAAGTCGCACAAAACTCTTACGCCTACACTTTTAAACAAATTTGTAAGTTTTATTTACATATTATTATTTTTTCCCCAATTTCTATCGATATCCAGAAAATTTTGAAATTTCTCGTTTGTACTTTTACTTGCTAAGTAACGGGTATCTGCTAGTCGGGAAACTTGACTATGGCGTTCTATCCTGTTTTAAATTTATTTATTTATTGCCCTGGAAATTCCACTTGGCAAGCCCTTAAAAAAATTGTGAAGGAAGTTGGAAGTTCTGGATGTTCTGGAAGTTACAAAGGGATACCAGACGGGTACAGGTACGGGCAGGACTTGAAGAAAGAAACATATGTACAGACCCGGTCATTTTCCACACTGCCTGAATTTTCATTAATAGCTTGGATTTTCTCTCAGCCCCCACAACACATTCAGCATTGTGCCCCTGGTCGGCTCTTTTAACTGTCATTGACTTTTTACACACTAGCTGTTTTATTCACACTTGTTTTGCTAGCTCGCCAAAAATTATTTTTAGATGCTTTACAATTTACTTAAAAAGTACGACGACATATCCGGCCTATTTTTTATTGTGTGCGTCTGGAACCTTTTTATGCATATGCCGTTTATTAAAGAACTGCCGACATGTGTGGAAGTTTACATGGATTTGTGCCTGCGTGTTGACTTGGGATTATTAGGCCTATTAAGCTTTTGTGTCTCAAGATACATTGGGGCCGTGCATTTCGTATTCGTATTAAAGCTTTATTGGGGTCATCAAATTAGATAAAATATGCGCTTTTCGCCGGTAAACATGTCAAACTTTCTATACAATAAAACCCAGCTTTTGTTGGATATTATCAGACTTCTCACATGGATCGTATAAAAGTGATTTATTACTAATAAGTGCTGGGATAATTACGTACAAACTAACATTACGATTCTTTCTGCGGATAACTCTTAATTTCAGTCCTTAGGTCACTAAAAGAAATACATATTACATTTTCCAATCGCATTGAACTTTGCATTTCGTTCAAGATAGAATTTGGGGTAACTGGTAACTGCTACACAAACCATGCAACTTAAAAGAAAACAGATGCAAATGGAAGGTATGTAAATGCGATGGAAGGAAGACTTACGGCAATCATAAATTAAATGGTTTCACACGCTCATCTGATAAAAATCCAAGATCCATTTTCAAAATTTTCAGTTTCCACACTTTATGCACAATTACCACCTTTTCACACTAATTGTTATACACTCAAACTAAATTAATATTTAGACACTAAAAAGCACCAAGACTACAACGCCGTGCTAAATGGGAATGGAAACGTTTTAGCAAAATGAAGCCTTGGACGGCCTAAGAGTATTTTCGGCGTATTGCTCCTTTTTCCTAGTTTCTTTTTATTATGCTTTGTATAATAATGTCTTTGCCAATCGTTTTTTTTTTTGTAACCAAGGATTGAATTCTTTAGTTTTGGTTTTATATTAAATGTAAGTTCTGAGAAAAGGAAAGAAATAGAAAAAATTATTTTTAGCAGCAAATATTAATCTCTATTATTGATTTTATATTATTTTGTTCATATACATATGTAGATAATTTGAAGTGTTTTGTAAATTTCTAGTGTTGTGAATTGTTCACTTTGTCTCAGACCAAAAACTAAAGAATTTTTTAAATATTCGTTAAGCGTTATAACTTTACATTTTTCAGAGAATGTTTTTACGTGGGAAAGTAAAGCTTTATAGTATGTTAGTAGTACTATTTGCAAATTGTTTTAAACGCATTATCCTTTACTTTTTTATCATTTGTCCCACGTTATGTTACTATATCCTTTGCGTATTTGTTGCTTTCGCACTACAACAAAGCACCGTCGCGCACCAAGCAATTGTGCTCTGTAAAAATCCCAAAGCACTGAATTTTCCTTTACCGTTAGCAAAGTCCGCGTGCTCCGAAAATCACTTGAAAACTGTTCGCCCGCATCGGCATCATTTGCCGGCCACATGATTAATTTGATGCGCAGCAACAATGTTGCCGCAACATGGGAACGTGTTCGAATAGAACTGCTGGTCGGTTTGAGAGGAATCCGGTGCTGAATGGAATGTCGTATGGCAGCTTGGTTTGAGTGAGTTCGCAGTGGTGAGTTCTAAAAGGGGAAGTTCCACTTCTGAGGGGTATTAGTTTCCAAGCAAACAAATGACTTTGTATATAAACATTGCTTGTATAATGGTGCAACATTTAGTGCAAGGTAGCTATAATTAAATGAAATGTATGTATTTTAACTTCTATTTATTGGTATTATTTCTACCTATGTCTTTTTAATGTCTATCGATAAGCCAAAAACTTTTTGGTCATGCCCAATCGCGAAATTATTTTATCCCAAAAATGTCTGTTTGGCACCTACACATTTAGTAAAGGCGATGCTGGATAAATGTTTTTTTTGCTTGCCAATTTCAATCTATAAATGTAAAATAATTGGAATTACACCAATTATTTAAAAGGTTTTATGTAACCACCGTTAAGTGGAGTGAGGGAGTGGCGTGTTGTCTTCTGCTTGTAGTCTTAGCGTAGTAGGCGTGAGCGACTTTACTGAGTCTCGTTTCTTTACTTTCCAAAGTTCGCACATTTCCCGTTCGACCTTGGCTGCCGAGAGTCCGATGTCCAACGCTGTACCGTCCAACGTCCTCCTGCCCTCCCCTCTTTGACCTGTACCGTTTGATCTCAGCCTTATCTTGGCGTCTCGATGCCTTTTGCGTTCTGTTCCACCCTTCCCTTGTGGGTTCACACCTTGTGGATCACACCTTCGGTAATTAGAATATTCTTCATATGCAATGTTCACTGCTACCATTTTTCCTTTCCTGGCAAATTCTTAAATTTACGTATGCAAGCGAAAACCGAAAAAAGCTCCTTAATCTTTCTTACCCACGGATTTTAACGTTTTTGCACAATAAACTTTGATGCACAGTTTATTGTGCAGTAACGTTAAAATCAAAGTAGTCCCAAGTGTTGCCCACAAAGTTCGTAATTTTCTAGAATTATTTAATACAATTTTTATTTAAAAATTAATTTGTGGAACCTTGAAACCTAGAATATTTAAAGAGTTAATTATACAGAATTATATATAAAAAACAACATTTGAGTCGACCAAAAATGTAAATGTCAACCAAAATGTAAAAAATAGCTTTCGTTAATAGAACGTTGAGATCTCGGGATTTTTAAAAACTTGAATGTTATAACTAAGTATGCAGATTCTAGTAACGTCTACGCTGTACACCTTTGTGCAACCTACAAACCGCCAAAAATGTAGATTTTATTGTTTGGATTACCAATTTCTATCAAAATACCAATTCCAAACCGCAAAAAGCTGTCACGCTATCTAGCAGTCGGGGAAATAGACTATAGTATTTGAAAGTTTGTCATTGTGCAACAAAACGTTGTTTTAGGTTCCTGAATCAAGTACTTTTTAAAAAACACACTAGCTAAAAATACTACGCCTAAAAAGGTATAATTACTTAAAATATTCTTAAAAACTGCCACTTAATAAAATTTGCGAAAGTAAATTCGCGAAAAAGGGGTACTCTTAGAAAAGCAATCCTTTAATTCATTTCGTTCTCTTATTGTTTATCGATACGTATTTGTTCTTCATCGGACCAACAGCTCCTATTTTGAAAATTTTAGTTTAAGCCGACGTTAAAAACCTAAAGACAACGATTTTCCTTAATAAATTAGTTTAAACGAAACAAGAAATATTAGTTTATAGTTATTATTATTTTTCAAAAGAAAATATTAAACAAAAATGTGAGCGTAATTCTGTACAATTAACTATCAATAGTATAAAATTTTCAAATATATGGATTTATAAAGTATTATCCCTAACAACAGTGTTATTTAAATTAGTTTACTATATCTTCCAAGATCATATAGAATAGGCCGAAACTGAGTTTCATGATATTCAAATCTCAAACTTTTCCTCAGAAATCTTCTCGTCGATAATCTGCCATATGCCATTTAAAAACTAAACTAAAAAATATTCTTAGTAAACATGCAAAACAACTATCTAATCTGTTAGTGAACTACTATCGAATAACACTGGTTCCGTCTATCGAGAACTGTCCCAGCTCTAGGGTCGCTGCAGCGCCTCGCTCTTTCCTGTCGAAACGCCGTTGAAAGGCGTAGTGTTTTTTTGGTCCGCGAGAAAATCTCCAAACATCCAAAATGGTAGGTGGCCAAAGTTCGAAATAATAGCCTTATATCTACAGTAAAGGCCTAGGGGCGACCTACATTAAAATCTTTAATGCCCAGTGTAAAATGTGCAGACATGGTGAAATTATGTGCCCACATATTTTCACGTTTGCGTGTGTGCGTGCGTGGTGGTGAAATACAAGACAAAGAAAAGGAATGACGTATACAATTTGCTATTTAAATTTGGCAAGAAAGTGCTGCTGGGTGTACGTTGTGAAATACCTGAGGAATAGCCATATCTAACCATATATATCGACGCTGAAACAAGCGAATGAGTGATATGTGGTTTTCTGTTCTTATCTAACCTCAAAGACCTTCGCACGACTGTCAAGATTGTGTGTGTAGGGACGCCATTTTTAATAAGAACATGTGCATATATGTAGTCGAAACTCGTTATAATACATAAAGATGCCTTAATTATTTATTTAAGGTAAACTTCACCGTCGACGAAATCCGTGGCCTCATGGACAAGAAGCGGAACATCCGCAACATGTCTGTGATTGCTCACGTAGACCACGGCAAGTCCACTCTGACCGATTCCCTTGTGTCGAAGGCTGGTATCATTGCTGGAGCCAAGGCGGGTGAGACTCGTTTCACCGACACCCGCAAGGATGAGCAGGAGCGCTGCATTACCATCAAGTCGACGTAAGACCAGTCACTTTCCTTCCAGCCCCCTTTCCCTTTCTAATCCGTATTACCCCATTGCAGTGCCATTTCCATGTACTTCGAGGTGGAGGAAAAGGATCTGGTGTTCATCACCCACGCCGATCAGCGTGAGAAGGAGTGCAAGGGTTTCCTAATCAACTTGATTGACTCGCCCGGTCACGTTGACTTCTCTTCGGAGGTGACAGCCGCCCTTCGTGTAACCGACGGTGCCCTCGTTGTGGTTGACTGCGTCTCCGGTGTTTGTGTGCAGACCGAAACCGTGCTGCGTCAGGCCATCGCCGAGCGTATCAAGCCGATCCTATTCATGAACAAAATGGACCGCGCTCTGCTAGAGCTGCAACTAGATGCCGAGGAGCTCTACCAGACCTTCCAGCGCATCGTCGAGAACGTGAACGTCATTATTGCCACCTATAACGATGACGGAGGCCCGATGGGTGAGGTGCGCGTGGATCCCTCTAAGGGATCAGTCGGCTTCGGTTCTGGGCTGCATGGCTGGGCATTCACCCTCAAGCAGTTCTCCGAGATGTACTCCGAGAAGTTCAAGATCGATGTTGTCAAGCTAATGAACCGGTAAGTCGTTCTCATTGTTTTTTAAATATATTCAAACTTCTACCACATAACGTGTGGCGCTGAGCGGGCGGCTTCTTGAAAGACTTCTCCCCAGGGGCAGTCTTTTTAGTGTCGCTCGTGCTGAGGGCGCCACAAGTGGACCATAAATAGAAGAAGATCAAACTTTCGGATGCTGTTTAAACGCTGACTGGGGACCGCTTTCCTAATGTTCCAATGAGTCATGTTAAAACAGTTACCTTACACTAATAATTTTTAACTTGTATACATAAATCTTTTATTGACCTCATAATTCGTTCGTATATTTAAGATTAATTGTTACTGTATATTTTATAGAATTTGATAGAATGAAAGTTGGCTTAACATTTGTTAAAAGTTGCAAATATCGATAATCGACAACATCGATATATTTTAAAGATATGACTTTAAAACTGATTTTAAATATTAAATGGTTAGACAACTAAGAAATTAATAATGTAACACCTTTTTTTTTTGCTTACAATTAATCTAATTATAACTCATGCATTTTTTATTATATAGAATTTTCTGGAAAATAATATGTTCCCATAATATAGCAATATAAGCGAATTATTCATCTTGAATAAGGAGTTTTTTAAGCCACAATTATTTCTTCAACTTCTTGTTCACAGACTGTGGGGTGAAAACTTCTTTAACGCCAAGACTAAGAAATGGCAGAAGCAGAAGGAAGCTGACAACAAGCGATCATTCTGCATGTACATCCTGGACCCCATCTACAAGGTGTTCGATGCCATCATGAATTACAAGAAGGAGGAGATCGGTACCTTGCTCGAGAAAATCGGTGTGACCCTGAAGCATGAAGACAAGGACAAGGATGGCAAAGCTCTGCTGAAGACTGTGATGCGCACCTGGCTGCCAGCCGGTGAGGCTCTACTTCAGATGATTGCTATCCATCTGCCTTCGCCGGTGGTTGCGCAGAAGTACCGAATGGAGATGCTGTACGAAGGTCCCCATGACGATGAGGCCGCTCTCGCCGTTAAGTCTTGCGATCCTGAAGGTCCTCTTATGATGTACATTTCTAAGATGGTGCCGACCTCTGACAAGGGTCGCTTCTATGCTTTCGGTCGTGTGTTTGCCGGTAAGGTGGCCACCGGGCAAAAATGCCGCATTATGGGCCCCAATTACACCCCCGGCAAGAAGGAGGACTTATATGAGAAGGCCATTCAGCGTACAATTCTCATGATGGGTCGTTACGTCGAGGCCATTGAGGATGTGCCCTCTGGCAACATTTGCGGTCTGGTCGGTGTGGATCAGTTCTTGGTTAAGACCGGCACCATTACCACCTTCAAGGACGCCCACAACATGAAGGTTTGCAGCATATAATTATAATTGAATTATATGAATTTTAAATTTTTGCATCGATTTTAGGTCATGAAGTTCTCCGTGTCCCCCGTGGTGCGAGTGGCTGTCGAGCCAAAGAACCCCGCCGATTTGCCTAAGCTGGTGGAGGGCTTGAAGCGTCTGGCTAAGTCCGATCCTATGGTGCAGTGCATAATCGAGGAATCTGGCGAGCATATCATTGCCGGTGCCGGTGAGCTGCATTTGGAGATCTGTCTAAAGGATCTGGAGGAAGACCATGCTTGTATCCCACTGAAGAAGTCTGATCCCGTCGTCTCCTACCGTGAAACTGTGTCGGAGGAGTCTGACCAGATGTGTCTTTCCAAGTCGCCCAATAAGCACAACCGTCTGCTGATGAAAGCCCTGCCCATGCCCGACGGTCTTCCCGAGGACATTGACAACGGTGATGTGAGTTCCAAGGATGAGTTCAAGGCTCGTGCCCGCTATTTGTCTGAGAAGTACGACTACGATGTGACTGAGGCCCGTAAGATCTGGTGCTTCGGCCCCGACGGAACCGGACCGAACTTCATCCTCGACTGTACCAAGTCCGTGCAGTACCTTAACGAAATCAAGGACTCGGTTGTCGCTGGATTCCAATGGGCCTCAAAGGAGGGTATTTTAGCCGACGAAAACTTGCGCGGAGTCCGCTTCAACATCTACGATGTGACGCTTCACGCTGATGCCATCCATCGTGGTGGTGGCCAGATCATTCCAACTACTCGTCGTTGCCTGTACGCTGCCGCAATCACCGCCAAGCCGCGCTTGATGGAGCCTGTCTACCTGTGCGAGATCCAGTGCCCCGAGGTTGCTGTGGGAGGAATCTACGGTGTGCTCAACAGGCGACGTGGCCACGTGTTCGAGGAAAACCAAGTTGTAGGCACTCCCATGTTCGTGGTGAAGGCATACCTACCCGTCAACGAGTCATTCGGTTTTACCGCCGATTTGCGCTCTAACACCGGTGGACAGGCCTTCCCTCAGTGTGTCTTCGATCATTGGCAGGTGTTGCCCGGCGACCCGAGCGAGCCCTCAAGCAAGCCCTATGCCATCGTCCAGGATACACGTAAGCGCAAGGGTCTTAAGGAGGGACTGCCTGATCTATCCCAGTACTTGGACAAGTTGTAAGGACCACAACCCGATCCCCTACAACATCCATGTCCAGCTGGCTGAGCGGAAAAAATTTAGAAGAAAATGGAACGACCGAATACAACATCTTCATTCGGCAAGGCACTTAAAACATCGCCTTCGGCCGCCAACAGTGTTTTAAAACAAATAAAAACACTAAAAAATACAACAATTTTGATGATTATTAATTGTATAACAGTAAAACAAAAATAAATCAAGTAAATGATTAATATTTCAGTTTACATGAAACCAAAGCGCAAATGTGTGATTGAAACGAAAATAGATTTCGTTGTACATCTTGCGGCGTACAAAAAGCTGTGCTGTTTTCTCAAACCTAAAAATGTATATCCCCCTAAAGTTATATGGTTGTGTTGGCGAAAATATTACAAATTTGGCGCTCACTAGTGGTCTAAGCATACATTAAGGGGATTTGTCAATGACAATTCAACACACTGGATTCTGCCAGTTAGTCCGAAGTCCGTTTTACATTGGATACAAATTTTAGTTTTTATTTTTTATCCGGTCACCCATTTATGAAAAATGACTTTCCTACCGCGCCTGTTTGGGGTTGAGTCCTCGCTAAGCAATAACGCCTTCGAAGTAAAAGGCGAAAATTAAATCGATATCTGATAACTTGCCCTACAAATTTGCGGAATGACAAGTAAAAGTAATTGAGGCTTTACGTTTATTCCTGCACTGATCTATCTATTTATTTGCTCTATTTCTGCTGATCTAAATTTATGCACAATTGGCGTCGTGTTGCGAAAGGGGAAAGATTTATGCTGCGCGGCTCGAATGATATCGATACAATATTTTGGTAAATTTTTGACATCACTAAATGTGCGAACGTTGCTGTCATAAACAAAAGTTCGCTTTCGTGTTGTAGGAAAGTCGGAGAAAAGAAGGTTCACTGGTCTCTGGCATGAGCATTTTCATGTGTGTTTAAGTCAAAATCCCATTGCAAAATATGAATACACTCGGAAATTCTTTTTCGGCTTGAACATAGCCGTCCAAAGTCGCTGGTACCGTTGCTTTAAGTGTCGCCGCGGCGTCTGCCATTTGTGGCCTCCCTGCCTCCTCCGCCTTGAGTAATCTATTCTTAGCAGCATTTCGCTTCAAAAGACTCCTGTTTGACTCTTGTGTGCCGACAGCAAAAGCTACCGAACAACCCCAGGCAGTCGAAAAAGTCGGTTCGCCTTCGTTGTCCGGGAGTGGGTGCATGTGTCTGCATTTGAAAAAATCGATGCCAGACTGTAGAAACTTCATTCAGAAACGAAATGAGTGAGAAGAAGAAAGCCGACAGCAGTAAATTTTACAGCTAGAAAAGTGGCCCGCGCTCATACTGTAACGGTCACTGTAAGTCATACACGTTGACTGATAACAGCGGAAATAAATTTTTCCCATTATACACTAGTGTCGGAAATTTGTATTAAAGCGCATTTTGTACACGTCGAGTCAAATTTTTGAGACAAACTCGGTTGCAAATGGTTTTTAATTGATCAAAGGAAAAAACGTGTTTTTACGTGTATGTACATATGTACGTACATAAGTATGTATACATATAGCCAGCCGTACAAGGTGTGTGGGAGGAGGTTGGCGAGAACGGTTTGTAAGTGCGCCTGACTGGGACCTATACTCAAACTCTTCTCGGCGGGGAACCAAAGTGTATAGAAAATATGAATGAAAATGAGGCTGAGGATGAGTGCGAATAGTGGCTCCTCATTCTCCAAATCGTTCTCCGCGATGTGATGGAAAAATCAATGTATAAAAATCTCTCGGTGAACAATTTTTAATTGCCGGAGTTGCGCGTGTGTCTACTTTCTGGTGTAAATGCCATATACATACGTAATATAAAAAATTGCACGCACTGTACATACATATATATTTAAAAGTCTGGTACAAACCCAAAACACCCATGTGATGTCCCCAAAATTGAGACTGGAGGTAAAATTGCAAAAATATATATAGTAGTAAAATTCAGAGGCGAAGAAATCGAAAAACTTGTTTGGGCTCAGGAAAATTATAATTTTTTTTTAGGCGGATCACTTACATATGTAGATTGATTAATGGGTAGTACGTGGTCTCGAAAACTTTTCTGATCGAATTATAAACTTCCTGCTCATCGTGGTTTTACAAATCAACCTTGACAGATTACGTGTACCTATATCCATAACCACCTAACCATTACAAGGTAGCATTTAAATTGCCAAATAAGTTATCCCAAATTAAAAATCAAGAGAGTGAAATTGTTTATTAAAGCGGTAGTCGTACAAAAATATTAGATACTCATTGGCTACCCGTATTTTCTCCCTACAGGCACATCGTAAGATGACGACTTTAATAACCTGAAATTAAAACAGCAAGGAAGGCAGAGCAAAACCTCCAATCACTTTCACTCATTGCATAGATGAACATTGAAGCTGCCCCCAACAAAGTAACGCCAGCAGCGTCGCTGACTGGGACATTTTAGTCATCGAGATATCCAACATCGACAAAGAAGCCACTGTCGCCGAGGTCTATCATCGATGGTTCAATGAGCATCCCATAATGGCAGCGGCACATGAATCATCTAAAGCACCCGATTTGACCAACGTCAAGACCGAGCGGACGTTTCATATGGAGGCAGGGCAATCCTATGACACAATGGCAGAATCTCATAGCACATTTCATTCCTTGGAAACCGAGACAGATCCAGAGGTAGCCCCAGATTTAGACGCTGCTGATGTTGAAGCTGATCAAAAAGGACAAAAGTATGCGAAACAAAAATTTTTTGCGAAATAAAATTGATTAGTCAAATAGTCCAATCTTTCCAAAGTAGCTTGAAGAGTACTTATGATTTTAAAACTTGATTAGTGAAGTTTAAGAATTAATCCGAGTGTTGACTTGTTTAAACCAAATAAAATGCAATTTGACTAAATGTTGTAGCTGTTAATCTGACCTATCTGATCTGATCTGATCTAACCTAGTAGATAACCGCCTCAGGCACTAAAGTGGAATTACCCAAGTCCGTATGTCCGTGAACTATTAGAGCTACGCACCTAGAACTAGCATTAATTTTCTGGTTACAGCTAAACATAATAAGTTTTGAAACATTGTATACACTCCCTCAACGACCATAAGAGTGTCGATAAGTCAACGAAGCCGTTGTAATAAGTGTGAAAGTACATAACTATTTTTATGCAGCAATAATCAACTGCAGTCGTTGGAACCAATTTCCTTGGATGACATTCCTGAGCCAATAAAAGTCCTCGATGAGATTATTTCAGAATTTGAGGAGGCAGCAACGAAACCAGTGGCCTTGAACTGCAACAGTGGCGAGAATCAGTCCGAGGACGATGGCTACATGAGCCTAAGTCGCAAAAAGTAAGTAAATCAGTTCAATAGTACCAATATAAAAACATATACATATGTAGTGTCCAATTAGGAATTTCGGTGTTCTGGAATAGGATTATACTTTTGTAAATAATAAAGTTACCAAAAAAAACCATCCGATGCCTTTTAATTAAAATTTCAACCGGTTTCCGGAAAAATTTACCTTTTAAATCTAACATCTGTGCTGAAGTGAAATGAGAACATAATCGGCTCCGCACGTCTCATAATTATTACTAGTGTTTAGTTACCGATGGTTATAACCAGGATCCCTAGCCGAGTCGATCTTGCCATGTCCTTCCGTCTGCCTGTCCGTCGCTTAGATCTTGGAAATTAAGTATGTATACGAAATAGATATCTGTGATTTGCCATATGCATTTTATGCTTTGATCCAGATAAAATTTGTCAATCCATAATGCCGTGCCTGTTTTAACACTAAAAATTTGTAGTCTGTGTTTTTTTTTATTTAATCTTAATCTTTATCTTAACTTTGACATTACAGCATGTCCAAAAAAGATTCAGAAGATGTACCCCAAACACCCAGCACAGACACTGTGCCCGAGGGAAGCTTCAACGAAGTGGATGGCACTGCTGAGAATTTAACTAAATTATCTGACGTTGTACACGGACAGGAAACTTCATCGCCTCTTATTCAGACAACGCTGGTAAGTTTAAAGAAGTCCCACTGCTATAGCAGCACCGCAGCTAATGGGAAATCAATTAATTCTCCGCAAAACCATATTTTTCTACCATTCCGCCAGCCAAAGGCTCGGGGTTCTAGCTCGACTCCTGCCGTAAGCTCTAATTACTCCAGCTTACCGTGCTGTGGTGCCAGAGCTTCGAATTTGGGTGGAGCTTCCGCTGCTAATTCCTCAAGTGGATTGTCAGCCCTCCGGCACCCGGGCAGCTGCAACGGTGGTCGCAACGCCCTGGGCATCGACATTAGCGCTGTGCATAATGCTGTCCTCCGTGGTAATTTGGCGAAGCTGCCGGAGCCATTCGTCAACGAACATCCGGTGACGATCTACCCAGGTCCGTCTTCTAAGGCTGCCGTGGGGGAAGGGGCTCGCGGCAAGCGGCTACTCAGCTCTGTCGAAAAGCACAAGGAAGTGTGCCACATGCTGAATCCACTATCCAGCAGCTCAAACTCTTCGTCCGGGGAGGCTTCGCCTGATGCGTCTCACGTCAATGTGGCGACATCAAAGGCGACTGCCAAGGATGAGGACTATTCGGAAGATTCGCTGGAGGAGTCCACCATCTCCACTGACCTCACACCCGTGAAACAGAACGGAGTCGCCTGGGAGATTCATTTTAGCAACAAGAAGAAGTCCAGCGGCTTTAAAAGTACTACTGCTTCTAAAACGGTTAGTGCTACTTACAACAAAATATTTATTAAAAAGAATTTCAAAATTTGATTAAAAGCATCCGCACGCGCCTTCATACGTGTATGGTTTAAAAAAATTTGGATAAAGTATATCCAGATCACACTAAACCATAAGTATGGTACTTTCAGAAAGGCTGTCCAACAAGCATTTCTGGTTGTGGCAATTTAAAACAAGAGATAATGCTATAGTCGAGGTCCTCGACTAGCAGATAACCGTTGTCAGCTAGTGGAAGTACGAACGAGAAATTTCAACATTTTCTGGAATATCGCTAGAAATTGGGGAGAGATAATGAAATGAAAAAAAACTTACAAATTCTTTAAAAGTGTGGGCGTGGCAGTTTTTGGCGGTTTGTGGGCTGTAACAACTTGCGCTGCGTCTATGTCTCCGGAATCTGCATGTCTAATCTCAACTCATTTTGGCTTTTGTAGTTCCTGAGATCGCAAACGCTTTCTTCTGCCTGTTACATACTTTTCAATGAATCTAGTATACCCTTTTACTCTACGAGTAACTGGTATAAAAATCGTTATAAATCAGTGACAGTAGTTATAAGTGACAAAGCGCACCAATAGAGTGTCCGAATACGACTACTATTTATACAAGAAGATATGAAAAAATCTGTTGTAATTCAATAGAAATTAATGAGAGGGCGGGCAAATATATATTTTCTTAAGCATTCCAGTAAATTTTAGATATTGTTAGTCAAATAATTTTCTTCACAAAAGGTTATATCAGGACTTTTGTATGTTGCAGGCAATCGTCACTAGTTTTATAATAAGTAGTTCAAATGAAAACAGAGAACATTGCAAAACAAAAGTTTCTGCTTTCATAAACGCGTAATTAAATGTGTTTGATTAAATGAACGTATTGAAGCGTTTCGCAGTCACCCGACGAGTCGATCTAACCACGCAAATCCGACTGTTTGTCGCCCATATGAACGTCGAAGGCTAAAAATTTAAATAATATAATATAAATATGTATCTCCGCCCTTTCCCTTTAGAGCTGTAGCGGATATCTGATTATTACATTCTATCTTGATTTACATACTAGTTCCTACTTTGTTTACAACACTGTTTATTAATCTAGCATTTTGGCATTTCCATCAACAGAAAACCAACAATTTAGAGGACAGTAGCGGTTTCATTTGCAACGATAGAAGTATGCCTGGCAATGGAACTTTTATTATCCGTCGCTCCACAGCCAAAAAACCGCCTCGTGCCACAGATGTATTTTGTATACCAAAGCCGCCACGTTCCTCGTTGGCCGAGAGAGTCGAACCCGAACCCAAAGCTGGAGCCGGGGCGATCAGTAATGAGTTCTATACAAGCGATAGCGAGCAAAGCGATACTACTCCGCTACCCTTACCGCTGCCACCAACTTCATCTGAGATAAACTTCGTCTACAAGGAGTGTGAGGCTAATGCGGGGCATACACGTCGCGGACTGGAGATGGCCGCAGCACACCGGGCAGTCTTATCTCTTGATATCGAGGCACCAGAACAACTCGGCTATTGCAAGCCAGTGAAGAGCAAGACGGCTATGCTAACAGAAAAGCGCCTAAGTGCCGAGTCCATGCCGGACAACACATCCAGCAGCGAAGAGTTTGATGAGGCGCGTCTCAGCAGAACCGGCAGCTACGAGTTGTATGGATACAACGGTAACGGTGAGTAAAAAAAAACAATCAATTCTTTCTTATCCTAATACTCTATCAGGATTAAATTCATTAAATTCTATAGAGGGTGCATACTTCATCTTAACAATTTTTATATGAATTTTAAAATATTCATTCAAAATAATAATATATAAAACTTTTTTTCAATATAGATCAGCGAGCTTCCAACGCCACTACTCCGCATACAGACTTGGCTCCAACATTGGAGGAGGACGAAGAACTTTCCGATTTTAGCTATGGGTGTGCTCCACTGATACAAATAGAGCATAACATCAGTGCTTTGTTGCGTGGAGACATTCCAATTGTTGGTCAACCGGCTGAAAGCAATGGTGGTGGACTCACTGGTGCCCCAACGACAGCTGCCGAGCTGCATGCAAAGCGGGTACTGGAATTTCGACATGGCGTTCACAAGTCTGAAAGCGCCAAGGAGATGCTGCTGTCACAGATGCCCAATTTGGGCCCACTGCCACCATCGCCACCGAGTTCTAACCCGGAATTATTTGACTACGATGCCCCACTTCCACCGTCGCCGGTGGAGCCGCGAAAGCAGCTAGAGCTTCCGGCAGTGGCGAATGCCCCTGCCGCGAATCGGGGTACTACCATAGTGGAGGTGCATGCCACCGCCTCCGGTACAGCGGTGCACAGTAGCAACAGTCACACTCGCCGTAGTCGAGACAATATCGCCTCTGTGCGTCACTTTACTGACGAGCTACCACCGCCACCAGCGCCTGCCCACCAATCGGCCAGCTTCTTAGAGGGCCACGCCGGACCACCCACGGTCCCCCCACATCGAGCCACTGGAGGTCATTCGGCCAACACAATGAAATCCTGGAGTATTGACTCGCAATACCGCAAGAAATCTCCAAAGCTATTTGGCCACTATAGCAGCGGTGGCAGTGGGATAACCACACCCACTGGTCTGGGACCGATGCCTCCACTGCCCCCACCGCATTTCGACGGAATAGCAGGTGGATCTGGTTCTTACCATCGTCGTTATATTAACTATGGCACCAAGCGCAGCTTAAAGCAGTCGCCGCGCGAAGAGCATCGCCTGCAAACCTCATGTAGTCTTCCTGAAACTCCAATTTTTGCCAGAGGGTGAGTAGTTACATACAAGTTACATAAGACCTAAAAAAGTAAAAATGTACCAGCAGCTGTGACATACCACGTACCCCATATCGACGCCAAAATGAGCCCCTGCCTGTGGTCAGTGGTTCCCGCACAGCGCCCAGATCGAGCACATCGAACAGCATCAACATGGGCGCTTCAATTTTGGGGATAGGAGGCAAGTCAAGTTTAATATTTTAAAAGTATGCCCAACATACATGGGCAATTTATTTACTAACGCCAAAATTAATGAATTCTTTAAAAGAATAAAGAAATATATATATAATTGGCGACATTCCCTGAAGCAAAGTTTCCGCGAAATATGTTTTTGATTTTAGGTTTTCATCCATTATTAAACGCCAATAACAGGCAAAACAATGCTTAGATAAATTGTTAAATCTACAGGCTACATTTAAACTTTGTAGTGTATATTTCTAATAATTATTACGATGTCCTTAAAGGAGGTATATCAACAAAATTAAAGGTTCACTACCGACATATACATGCAAAGCCTTACGCACTAAATATCAATATATTTATATAATATATATTAGCAATATATAAATATTTATTATGTAAGTAAACTTAGTCACAAATCTATTCTTATAGAGATCGGTCATGTCTGTTATTATTTCCCCACTAAACTTCGAACCTAAACCAAAAACCATTCTTTCTTAATTACGATGCACAGTGTCGGAGTGATATTAGACCCTCCCGATCAAAACCCGCCTTTGCCTTTTAACTATTTGGACCTTCTTAAAACACCAGATCCCACTTAAAATAAAAGCCGTACCGGACTATTCAGCGAAAACTACAGTAAGGGAATACATCCCACTATTCCTCAGAAGCACAAAAAAAGCTAAAAATTTGGTCATGCAAATATATTATATTTCATATTTCTTAATAAAAACCAAACTGCCAACTACCAGCCATCAAAATCATACGAAAATGGGACCACTTAGTAAACACGCTTACTTCTTCCATCAACAAGCCCACTCTCCAGACACCGCATACAATATCATCACCTCACCGTACATAAGGACCTCAACAGTTATACCGAATTTCAAATTCAAAACATCAGTCCCCACATAATAGTACTTAAAGATCATCACTTACTACACGCCATTTATCTTCCGATACCTATCAACTTTTACCTACAAAATCTCACACAAACAATTTAACTATGTATAGACATAGACGCAATTTGAATTTTCCTCAAATATAGCCTTATCTCGATCTATATTTTCCGCCTTATACCAATTTTAACATAAACGTCCTACAAATAAACGTGCTTTCCTCAAATACACTCCCACACGTGTCCTTGGACTCCTACAACTGGTATGAGTCGAAATTTTCGAAAGCTACCCTAGCTTCACCCTTGTCTGGGAACGTTAGTGCCTCCCTTAGCCCCAAAAGCCCATTTTCTCGCCATATTTTAGGAGTGGTAGAGGAAATATAATATTTGGAACAGTTTGAGTTAGCGAGTAAAGTAGGATCCCCCAATTCAACGCATCCAATGCGAAATATAGTCCCAAGATATTTTAATCTGTAGTGAAGCGCAAGAAATTGAAAGTGCTGTTACTGTTTTCTGGGCAATATCTTTTCGTACATACATATATGTTAATTTGATCAAATAAAAGCAGAAAGTAAAGCTAGCCGCAAGAAGTTTGAAGAAAGCAGAACAAACACAGTTTTTAAACTACTCAGGCACGGATCACGTCACTAGTTTAAATACGTTTCTGCGTGTTCTGCTTTTGGAAATTCATGCGAATGCCTGGGGTACTATGGTAGAACCATAAATATATATATTTTCTACCATATATATATATATATATATATATATTCGTACTAGTTGATCCTACCTGCGAGAGAACGAAGACTTTTGGTAAAGTTACCAATAAATACCATTGCAACACAACCACGCTCACCCAAGTACTTAAATCCCTTAATATGTAAAAAATGTACAAATATGAGCCGTCTTCACTTAACCTATTCCCAATATTATAATAGAAGCAATTAGGAAAGAAGAAGAACAAGATTACCTAACAGGAAGACAAACTCATTTCAGCCAAAAATACGCCCCTCTGTAACCTGATAAAAACACTAAAATGACAACATATATGGCATAAATGACAATATATACATAGTACATATAACATATATATATGTATATATAGAGCAATAGAGCATTCCACATCTGCTAGCAAATGTGCAAAATTTTATTTGCCCCAAATAAAAATAGATTCCTCCAAAAATATAACAACTGATCCTCGATGTCAATTAACACCGCCCTTGCATTGTAACTAAAAGTGCTATTATATAGAAAAGTACACAAATCCGGGTATAAAAATTTAAAAAAAATATTCATATATTTCCTGCCTTTATGTTGAACAAATTCTATCCTATGCCAACAAAATTTTGAAATTTATTCCTAGCAATCCTAACTGTATATGATATTTGAGTAATTCAACTCTCTTGTTTTACTATAAAATATATATTTTTTTACTATATATTTATAACTTAAGTCTGCTTTATATAAATGAATGTATCAATGAATGTACCCATAGGTACATTCGTCAAAACAATCAGCAATAGCTTTTAAAAGCTTAAATGTAACACAATTGGGTTTCATTTAACGTCCAAGAATCAGACACCACTTTTGGTACCGGATTTGTAATTTCACACGGTGTTAATTTATTTCATACCCCATCAATAGGAGGTAACTATGGTACAGCCCAAATTTGCCGCCAGCGCTCAATAAATCATGCTTTGGCTTCCAATGAAATGCTGCGTATGACTGGCGCCCCGGCTCGAGGATGGTATCCCAAGCAACGGGGAATGCGTCCAGTCTCCACCGAGAACATAGATCGATTGGCTTCCATGCGGGTATGGGACAATCCGACGGGCATGTCGGGCACCGGACAATCTCGTAAGCCATTAACGCTGCCACCAAATCTTACACCTTCCTTTTTGAATAAATCACCCCGCGAGGCTCTGCGGCGAGTGACCAGTTTACTGATAACCAAAAAAAGTGAGTTTGTCTGAAGTGAACCGAAAAGAAATAAAGCGTTTTAATTGTACTCATCAGAAAACAGCAAAGATCGAAAACAGAAGGCATACTGCGATCAACTTATGGATGATAGCAACAGCAAGCATGTCTATGAATTTGAAACGGGTAAGGTTATAGAACACATTTATGAATTGAAATAACGAATAAAAAAATGTGTATTCATATAAGAAGCAAAAATTGCATAAAATAATTTATAGATATATTTTTAAAGACACGTTAATAGTAACCTCGTAAAAGATCGGGGAAAACGTTTAATCTCGTATATAGAATAATACCTGGATCGGTTTTTTAGTCTACCATATGGCAACGCCAGGCTGTCTATTTGTAGGAACGTCGAGATCCCAGGAGCTAGAGTTAGGAATTAAAATATGTATATACTCTAATAACGTGCATTATTGGCTTAAAAATAAACCGTTCCTAACGCAAGAATATGATTAACAATGTGGTATTTAAATAAAATTCTTGCCGGCCCATAATTACCACTGTATATTGCCGAAAATTGATTATTCGTTAATCGTTAAGCGAATAATCAGCAGATAAGTGAAGCTCGTGTACAATTTAAAACCTCTCTTTGGTGAGTCCATCTCTTGATCTTCCGCTCCGTAACATGTTCTTAAGAGGTGGACCACTGATATATTTAAGTTAGCTTTAAAATAAATTAAATAGCATTAAAATAAATTTAAAAAAACATGTTTAAACGATTTTAATTTTGATACCACATTTTTTTATCTAGGATCCACCACACGAAGGGATACAAATCGCAAGGACAATGGAGCCTCGGGGGCGATCACCAATAACAAACCCAAAAAAAGGGGGCTATTTAAATCTCTTTGGAAACGATCCAAAACTGCCTCTTTAGATCAGTAGAGAAGTCCCCTCTTGGAAGTTTAACCACTGCCCCTTTTTTATATACACCATATGTGTATAGTAGCATCGAAAATTATAATAACTCTTCTCGGGTCGAAAGATGCCAGTACATCTGCACTCACCTACCCACTCACCTTATCATTCATCGATCAGCAAAACGCGTGGGTTCCATCACCTTGAAAACATACACAAAGTATCGTAATTGGTCATATTGTAATGAAACAAAAATTCAAATGCACAAAAGCCGTGAATCGTAAAGACTGACAAGGAAAAAAGCGTTAAGAAAGATAAATTAAATTAAAAAAAATGTGAAAGTAAATAATATGAATATACAAAATACAAACAATATTTCACTCTTACAAGTTACAAAGAAAATACAGTGTAAAATTATTATGCGATCAACACCGAACTTTTAAAATGCTATTAAAGCAATGTTTGTAGTTATATGGCCAATGATCGAATATCCAAAATCTAACCAAATACACAATGCATTGCCGCAACAAGAAATTTAAAAGCACTGAATTAATTTAATCCTATATATATGTGTGAGCGATATATACTTATGTGTATATATAGGGACATAACTAAACCGTTTGGGGTTCTAGGCAACAACACATACATTATTATGATGTTAAATTGCTTACATCAATTTAGAGTTGTGCAAAGCAAGTTGCAACGGGCAATGTGGAAAAAAGAAATTAGATATGTTTTTGTATGAAGTATCCCATGTTTTTTAATCGAACATCTGATGCTTTGCCAAGTCCCTAGTGCAACCCAAAAAGGTCAAGTTGAAATGACAAACAAAAATCGTAAAACTGATGAATTTCCAAAAAATGAAACAGAATGATGTTAAGCCCTCCACATTTTAACGAATGTTTGATAATAAAAATGAGATCGAAAGTACTCCATCAAATCTTTAAAAGTATAATTAATGCTCAAGGCGCGATTTTATCAGAGAAAGCATTTCTCTTTTGAGCAAAAATGAATTAGAGTAGTTGGAAAGGAAAATTGCAATATGTAAACGTTTACTAGTCATTAAATATAAAAAATGAACTACAAAAAATGTATAAGAAAGATAACATATTTTTTATTAACAATCAGTGATTGATGCCAAAATGCCAAGGACATAAATATTGGAATCATTTCATCAGCAAGAGCTGTGGCACCCAAGAACAAGATAAAAAGATAAAAGTATTAACGATTATTAGTTACACCCCTTACAGCCGAAATGCTAATATGCCGTTGAAGGCAGTTGTTTTCAGTGTGTGACCAAAGACATTAGAATAACAAGATGCGTAACGGCCATACATTGGTTATGCACTATGCAGCCACTTTTTTGGTGGCGGCAATAATTGCTCTCTCCCCCACTAGCGTAAAATTGAGAGCATAAAAAGATAAAAATAGAATACACTTGCTTGTGTGAGTGAAAACAGCAAGCAAAAAAGTGTATGTGTGCGTATTTGTGCTAGAAGACGATTTTCGGCCCGAAATTAATTTTGATCTAAGATACGAATTTGATTAATGTTTTGGTCAATTTCGTTGTAATATGATATAATAAAATAATATTTAAAAAGTTGATGGCGTGACTATTATTTTAGTTTTCTAGTTTTCTAACTATTGCTTTTCAATATATTTTGCTCCTTTTTTTATTAATTATATTACATTTTGTACTATGTATGTAAATATATTTATTTATTTATCATTTATTTTTTAACATGTAGGAATTTCATTCATTTTTTTCATTTATGAGATAGAATGCTGAGTTTTTTATCAGCTTTCACAGTCCTATTACAATGCTTAAATAGTAAAACTTGTATTAGTTTGTTTAAAACATCAATTTTATGCACATAACGTTCATTATTTGAGTGAAACCATAATAAGAAACATTACATTTTTTTTTTATACACAGTTGCCTTTTATTGATTCTAAAAATATTTTCAAAAATTTAAATTTTGAGGATGTTAAAAAAACAAATGATACCTATAGTTTTCCAAAGTCCGATTTAGTTGAGTAGTTTTTCTCATGTATGAAAAGCTCTGAGGCAGTTGTTAAATGATCGCTTTTTTTAAGATCAACGATTTAAGATCAGCTATTTATACAACAAAATATATACACGAAGTTAAGTCAATGAACAATATGCAACCTCTTCATTGAAAAATTGAATTCTTGAGGCTGGACCAGCGGCGGACATAAGCACCAAAGAATCACTAACTTCATACATATATTTTTTTTCACGTCGCAATTAATAACTGTAACGACAATTATTCTAGTATAAAGTAATTTCTAAAAATTTTTGGTATTATTATGTACATTTATTCATGTAATACTATTTCTATGATGTATTTAAATAATCTTATTACGACAATGTAAAATTCGAGTTTTTACATGATAATAATTTTACAAAATAATATTGGAAAGTCCATAAACTTGCAAAGTGAAGGGCATATTTTCTCAAATTTACAATACATGACCATACGTGTGCATACAAACAGTGTCGCTGTATGCGTACAAGAGAGCTGCTGGCTCTAGAACGCTCTCTCACTGGCTTTTGAACAAAAATTCAAGAGAGCCTGGAGCCAGCACAAAAAAGTGTGCATCTTGTTATTCTAATGTCTTTGCTATGACCTTGAATTCAAAAGTTTCGACAATTTCTTAATGGGACATTTTTTTTATTTCAAAATTCAACACAAAATCAATAAAAAAAAAGCCAAAAATATAATTATGAAACTTTAGAAATCTTTATTAAAATCTATATCGTGATACACATTTTTAATTCCATTCTCATGCTCTACTGACTTGATTAAAAAAACGAGAAGTTATTAACGACTTAGAATCTTTTTTTTTTCGTCCAATGAACTAGTGTTATTTGATATAGCAAGTGGGTAATTTTTATATTTAACTAAATATGTAAATTTAATTTATTTAATATTATAATATATATTTTTTAGAAAAGTAGCACAAAAGAAATAAAAATTACTAAAAACAAATATAATGCACGGCCTTTTTATATTTCATTATATATATGTACATATGTATGTATATAAATACATATACATATATAGGATTTCTTGGTAAAGGAGAAACTTAAATGGGTACACACAGTTTTGATACACAGTATTGTATAATAATAACTAATTTAGTAAAATCAAGATTATTCAAAGAATTGAAGGGATTTTAATATTTTAAACCAACTGTCAATTAAACTACTACAAAAAGCTGGGAAAGCCCCTGTAAACTCTTTAAAATCGATAAATTACAATATAAATGGGAGCAAATCTACGAATCTTAGTCGGAAGCAAACGATCATCTGGCAAGTTTCAGAAAATTTTTTGGTGTTTACTTCCTTTAGCATTTTGACTGGTAACTTAAAGCTCGATATACGATTAACTTATTTTTAGGTGTGGTAAGATTATTTTTAGTCGTATTAGTCGTTAAAAAGAACTTAATAATCGTAAACAAAAAATTGATCCATTTTTTCCGGGCTGACCAAATAAAAGTACAGATCTCTCTCCGGAGATTCAAAGTGGCAACACTGATGCAGACTACTTTATGCATAGCATTAACTTCAATAAAAGTAAATTGGTATTACAAATAATCCGAATTTCGATACAAATGCTTACGAATCCGGAACGCGCGTAAGGCGGTTTATTTTCCTGTACACCCTCTAACCAATATTGTTTGTAAATTTTATTTGTTCAAAAAATATTCCGAAATATAAAGACATCGAATTAAACATTCTTTCCGATTTATTATACATTTTCCAGCAAATTGTTCTGCTTTGTGCGTGTGAATAAAACCAGATAAATATACAATACATAAAAGAAATATAATATATATCTACAAGTATATAGGACACGCATTAAATCAAAATCAACTAACTAAGCTAAATTAAAAGTATCAGTAACATCGTTTGATCTCCACACACCTTTCATACCAATATGCTATGATCATAAAAATAACAAAACTCAAATTGCTTTTAAACATTTTTAGTTAGTTGTTTTCAGACAAAATAGGCCGGTTCGTTAGAAATTCCTTGTTGTGTGTATGGGAGGTTGTAGTTCGGGAAGGTTCTTCAGGTTTAAGAATAAAAAATCTCTACCGCTGTCTATGCCATGTAGCTGTATTCATCGCCCGAGTTCGCGGTTCGCTCAATATATTGTTTGTCAATTAATGACTCCACGCATTTCTTAATCATTGCTATGTTGGGAGTAAAGCTAACCTTCGATAAAGAAAGAACCTAGAGAAAACAATATGTCATGTAGTTTTCATTTACAGTTAGGTGTTTTGAATATTACCTCTTGTATTAGCGCATTGTGCTTTAAGACTTTACGCGCTTTCATAATTCTAACAATGGCGGCTTGTAGAAAGAGTTTTCGGTCCTCATCCACAGAGTTTATCGTGTGTTCCACCTTTATAAAAAAAGTTGTTAGCACCAGGTACTATTTAAAATCTAAAAGACTTACCTCCTGTGGCGTTTCCTTTTGCAAAGCCGAACTTATTTTGAACTTCGTACGCTTATTTGTGTAATCCAAATTTAATTCTATTCGAGTCTCCCCGGCGAGATTCTCTGAGCTGGCATTTAAAAGCTTTGACTCGATAATAGGCTGCATGTGCTTTTGAAATGTTTCGTTGTTTAGCTGCAAGGTGTTCTGGATCTCCCGACAACTCAGACTATCACAAGTCTCGAACAGCAAAATTATCGCCATCTGGTATGTCTGCATAGTCACGATGTAGGATTTTTTCAAATGGCTCAACTTTAATTCCCCGTGACACATATGATGTAGCCAAGTTAACTTCCGACCACTAAATAATTTATGATAATAATCCTCAAACTGGAAAATCATAACATAAGGTACAGGATTAAAACAACAATCAACTTAAAATTTCTAATGTATCTTCGACAGTCATTCGTTTTAAGATGTTTCTGGACCAAAAGAAATTACGTTTTGATTCGGTACGCTTATAAACCTTTATTTAAATAAAGATACTTTAAACCTTTTTAAAAGTCACATATTTTAAGAGAGACATGAGGGACGAGTACGATTTTAAAGGAAACTTTTTTCTACAAGAAGTTGGCTTATTTCTAAGCATTTTGGAAATGCTATTACTTTGCTGCTTAAAATATTTCTCCAGGTTTTTGAACCCTAATATAACATTTTTAATATTTTTAAAAGGACTCTCTTTTAATAATTGACCAAAAACAGTTAAGTAAAAACATCAATATAATATTTTCAATATTGTTAAAAGGCCTCTATTTAAATAATTGACTAAAAACAGTTAAGTAAAAACATCAACAGCGATTTTAAAATCGAAGAATTTTTAAAGTTTGTAAAAGCTAGCTTCTATCTTCTATCTTTTGAAATAAAATATATATTTTTACGAAAAACGTACCATTTTAATAGATTTTTCAAATTCCTGTGGTACTGCAAATGGTATAACTTGAGTAGACCCCAAAGGCCAAGCGCCCGCCTGCAGTACCTTAATGGCAAGGTTGATGCCTGCATAGAAATATACATAAAAATAAAATAACTTTAATGAATAGATTTCTTCAATCTCACCTAAGTCGACATTGCTATCCTTA